CCGTCTGCCCAGGGAAGGGCAGGAGGACAAGGCTTTTGTGCCCTCCGCCCAGTGTCTGCCTGTTCCCATGGCTCCTCTGGCGTTGCTGGCAGCAAGGGACAGCCATTCTGCCAGGTACAACAAGGGGGTTTTCATCCTCCAGGCACTGACAGAAGGGCTTTATGTGCTGGCCCAGCTCCAGCTAACTGGGATGAAAAGGTTGGCTGGGCGGTGAATGTGCTGGGGGGGTATGTGCAATGAAAGCATTTGGTCTCTGCTGCAGTAGAGGGGGATGAATGCTGGAGCCTGCTCCCTGGGCCAGCTGGGCGAAGGACTGCCTTCCCCAAAATAAATCCCCTCAACCCTGAGCCAGCTTTTGGGGGACTTACTGTGCCAGGAGGGAGGCCAGACAGCCGTACATGGATGGCGTGTACATGTTGCCATTGCGGGAGGAGAGGAGCAGGGAGGGCTTGGTCTTCTGGTTGAAGATCTCCTGGCTGGCCACCTGGAATGCTTTCTCCACATCCTTGCTGGTGTAGGTGTCCTCCAGCTTCAAGCCACTGCATGGAAAGAGGCCAGCTCAAACTCCACACAGGCATGTCCCCAGCTGGGCTGGGGGACAGGGGACATGGCACGTGGACCCACCGGAAGGACTGCAGCCCCTTGTAGAGGCCAGAGGCTGTGTCAGGGTTGGGGGAGGCCAAGAAGTCATTCAGCAGCAGCCGTCCCACTGACTTCTGCACCAGCTTGCAGAAGGGCGTGTGGAAGATGATGTACTTGAAGTCGTCGAGGGTGAAGGGCCGCTGGATACCGGCTGGAAGGCAGTACAGGGGCTGTCAGCATCTGGCAGGATGGTGGAGGCACCTCGGGATGCCCTGGCTTACCCTGCTGCTGCTGGCTCTCTGCCTTCCGTCGGTACACGGCGTAGCAGCGGTCTAGAGCACGCAGGTAGCACTGGATGGAGAGCTGCCCATCCACCACTGGGTACTCTGAGGACAGGTCTGGCTTGTAGAAGTCATAAGCATGCTCCATGTGGGTTCCCCGCAGGCCTGGGGGCACAGTTGGCTGTCAGGGAGTGCTGAGGAATCCCAGACAGACAGCAAGCACCCACGGGTGCTACTTGCCATGCTAACCCCAGCATCTACCAGCCTCTCTGGGTCACTCTGAGGCACCCACAGAGATGTGGCTATTGGCATGCTGATGTACCCATCACTGAGCAGCCACTGGGGCCAGCAGAGCTGGTGCTGTTGGAGCTGAACAGCTCCATCTGGGGCTCAACGTGGATGTACAGCCCCCAGCAATAACACCCCTCAGCTCATTGCCCCCAGGGCAATGAGGCACTGACCTCTCTCCAGCACCAGCGGGGCGTTGGGTCCCACCAGCATGGCGATGGCACCGGCACCTCCTGTGGGCCGCGCGTTCCCCGTGGCGTAGACGGCGATGTCCCCGCACACCACCACGGCGTAGCGACCTGGGGGAGGGGAGGGGAGCTGGTGGGGATGTCAGGGGGAAGAAGCCCCCATCCTGCAGCCCTCAGACATCCCCATCCCTATGCTGCTGGGTATGATGGCCAAGGCAAGTGAGAAACTAGGGTGATGGAGAATCCAGTTCCCTTTGAGGTATTTAGGAGCATCTTCAAGTTTCAGACCTTCTGCACTTTCCCCTATCCCACAGCACCCAACCCATGTCCAGCCCCCCAGACATCACAGTACAGTCCTGCCCACACCCACCATCCCAGGCGCTGGACTCCACCCAGGCAGCTGCGTTGAAGAGGGAGGCAGTGCCCCCGTAGCAGGCGTTGGTGGTGTCGATGCCCTCCACGTCAGTGTTGCCCGAGTCGTGGAAGAGCTGCATGAGGACAGTCTTGACAGCCTTGGACTTGTCGATGACAGTCTCGGTGCCCACCTCCAGGCGGCCGATGGCATCCCAGGACAGGCGCCCGCGCTCCACCAGCCGCTGCACCACCGTCAGGCACAGGGAGTTGATGTCCTCGTGGGCAGCACAGAAACCCATCTGCTGTTGGCCCAAGCCCCGCGTGTACTTGCCAGCCTCGACACCATCGTACTTCTCCAGCTCCTCCTGCTCCACGTACTGGGCAGGGAAGTAAACCTCCATGGCCAGGATACCCACGTCCTTGGGCCAGGTGCCCGTCCCCGCAGCACTGGAGAGGCTGCAGGGTAGAGGGAGCAATGATAGCATTCCCGGGGTGGTGCCACCAGCAAGCACCCCAGGCCATGAGCTCCCCAAATCCCTGCTGGTTCCCTGACATGCTAGGGAAGAGGAAAAGCATCCCCCCTTCCCCATCAGGGTTCAAGAGCACTGCCAGCCCCCTAATACCCCCTGCCCCAGGTTATGTCTCCACCCCACCTGACCCGCCTGGGTGCTCACCATGCCCTCTGCACGGCCGCGGGGGGCTGTGCCCCCCAGGGTGCCCGCTCCGGCCCCGGGGGTGCCCGCTTTGCCCCCCAGCAGCGCGCAGCGCGGCTGACCAAGCGCAGCATCTTCGCCCGAGCTGCTGCACGGAGGGACGGGCAGATGGACGGGGGGGGGGAGGG